TTTGCCATGAAAATAAAGTTTACATATATGTAATTTGGAATATTGTTATATATTTTTAAAACAACATATTCATGAAGGTTGCATCTACGAAGGTATTCGAATAAATTTCAGATGGTCCCCAATCAAAATCTTGGTTTTGTTAACGATTTGCCATTAATATATTATCGAATAAATTTCGGAATAACAAAAGTGTTCTTAATCCAAACATAAGAAAAGAATGACTAAACAAAGATATGAATAAACAATTAACAACGTGTAAGAATAAAGAGGAAGACAATGGAGAAACAACATAAGATTACTGAGTAATTACCTTAAATCATCTAATAGATATTTGATTACTGTGTTTATTCATGAAGGTTGCATCTACGAAGATAAGGGTGATCAAACTTGATGTACTTGGTCCAATACGGTCGATACTTGGACATGGCTAACTCCAACCATGGTTTCATGTTCCCGTTATAGTGAACCACTGCTGCGTTCTGAATGTCCTTCTTAGCGATACTCGGGTTGTAACCAAGTCCCAACACGTGCCACGACTTGTCTAAAGGATGTGTTAATCCGTAAAACGTTATTAATCCTGGTGGTAATGTCCCTAGCTTCCATAGTGTCCTGTTCTCATTCTACACAACAATAACCAAAAAACCATTAATACAACAGATACCATCATGAGACTATTGGTGTGCATTTGGGTAAGAAGAGTTTTAAGTACCATGTTTTGCCACTTATGGTAGATACCAGTGATGTCTCTCTTCTTCCACTCCTTGAGGTCGAACATGTTCATCCCATAAGCCCATCCACAAGCGTTTGGATTGAAGTTTCTCGCGATGTGAGGATTCGAGAAGTTGAGATACTTGTCGAACCTGTGGAAACTCTCCCCGCAGGTTTCGACTGCACCGTTGACTTTCCCGTTCAAGTTGACTTCCCAGAGTGGAGTCAGGTCTTTCTGGACGATGATGTCGTCGTCCAAGAACAGGATCTTGTTCAGCTTGGGGTAGACCTCAGGGAGGTAGAATCTCAAGTGATTCAACATGGACAGGTACTTTGGGTTTCTGTATTTGAGATTCGAAGAGCCTGAGCTTGGATGGTCTGCTTTGAAGTAGTACTCTTTCATCGCTGCAGACTCGAGCTGACGAAGAACAGGGCAGTAAGATGAGTTGAGCCACTTAAACTCATCCACGTTTTCCACATGTATGGTTGCCTTTCCTGGTGGGTTTAGGAGGAACCACATGTTCATTGCTGCGAAGTTGAGTTTATCTGTCACAAGGTGAAAAACATGCTTCGAAGGATCCTGAGGAAAAAAAAATATAGAATCAGTAAACAAATCCATTTTCAGTTTCAAGTGATAAAAGATGATTGTTTACCTTTGCATTCATGATGGTTGAGTTAACAACCACTGACGCAGCTAATACATTGTCAGAAAAGAGAGCATAATGATAAAGATTAGGGTTTTCTCGGTTTTCACGGCGAGGGAACTTTCTCTTCTCCGGTGAAAGAAGATAGTAATCGATTGTTAAGCGCATTGAGAGGCAGTGGATAGGATTTGGTATTGTCTTTGCTGCTAACTGAGCCAGAAAAGTACTCTGCTTCTTTAAGCTTCTGACTTGTTCATCGGCGGTTTGAAGCATTGCTCTCAGCTTTCCAGTAACCAACTTACAGTCATATAACTGCATCTTAGCCTTAGACAAGACTTGACCCATGTCTCTGAGTTTATCATGTGCACTACAAGAAAAGTCATTTATAGAGAATGTTACTTTATGGAAAAAACACTAGCACTGTGAAAGAAAGCACATAGTAGAAAGAATTTTACCTACGAGGAAGATCAGCATCGGTTGCTGCTTCACCTAGAACACGTTGGCTGTCCTTGATTCGGGCCTGGAGTTCTTGTAACAGCTCAGTCTTGTTTTTAAGTTTAGCAATACCACAATAGACTCTAGCCATGATCACTTGATCCCTCATCAAGCGTATGTTTGAATCCGAATTGTCATTTTCATTTTCTCTTCTCCAAATACTGTATTTTCCAAGGACTGCAGAATCAACAGACTTGGAGCGTTCAATGGCCGCATTTTCAAGCTTTAAAATCGTGTCATCGTTGCGCTGGACCAGCTCATTTGCTCGCATCTCACGCCTTTTCTCTCTTAGTTGCTGAAAATTTTCAAAAGGATATATTAGTAACAAGATACTCAGGCAGAGGACAATTTTCGAGTTTTGGAGCTTAAATGTAAATAAAACAACAATTACCCTTCTGTAGAACTTTGCAGGTGTCTCAGCTTTCTGATGGCTACCACCTGCATCAACGAAAACATAGAAGAGTCAGAGATGGAAAGACTTCGAAATAGATAAGAATGCAACTTATTAAATAAAAGGCACTACCTTTTGAAGTAATATCACGTTTTGCATTCATGACACTAGATGTTGTTTGATTCTGCTTCAAGTAGATCAAAAGTTTAAAACTTTGAGCCGAAATAATCGAATAACCAAGTATAAGAAACTAAACCACACCTGAGAGTTTCTAACGGAGGTGTCTACACCTCGCCATGAAGCAGAAAAATTGTTTTTCTTGAAAGAATCAAGGCTAAAAGGACCCATATCAGCTGTGCTAGCTGTGATAACATCCAATACCTAAAGAGTAGTTACAAATTAGTAAGCAAAAGGAGCCAGTCTAAGAAAAAAGAAACCACACAAAGTATTTGTAACACTTGCCTCTTTAGAGAAAAGAGATCTAAGAGACTTCATAGCTAAACGTTCTCTCCAATCAAGATCCTTCAAAACAACCAAATCCAATATTCCAATTAAAACAACATCACTACTTCGTGTCCAAAAAAAAAAAAAATACTTGATAATAATATTCAGAAGAGAGTTTCAGCTCACCTGCTTCACTGAATCATTTGAATAATCTGCAGCGATGAAATGAAAGTAAGCTCTCGTCAGATAAATCATAGAAGACAGATCTTATAAAACGGTTATTCAAATTGTAAATCAATTGTCCGAAGATCTCTACATGAGTCGTAACAAATGTAAATTAAGATAAAAGGCGCAATAATGCAATTACCGTTAGAGGAATCAATGTATACTCCTCTACCAACGACGAAGACCAGAGGCGCGAAGACACAGACAAAGACGAGGAGGATAAACGCAGATCGAGATCCGCCTCCACCTCCTCTGATCCGATTAACTCCTCGTTTTAGCGCCATTCCTATAATTAATTAAGAAAAAAAAAACTAAATCAAGTAACGAACCGATTAATTGAAGAGGAAGTGAGATAATTAAAACAGATTCATACTCTGAATCACAATCCACGTCACAGAAGCTTCACGGGTGATAAATTAAAACGTCATTAAACAATTTTTTAACCAATCAAAGGGGGAAGATCTGATGATTCGAGCACAATCCGTGACGAAGAGTGAGTGATAATGGATGCGAAGAAGATGAAGATGATGATTGGTATCACCGACAAATTAACCAATCGCAATCGACGCCAGGATCTGTGGCTTTTTCTCTCTTTTTTGCAGAGAACCTCACACGCACGCGTAGTCGTTGGCATATTATCCTGAAATCCGAAAACCGAACCGGAACCGAAAAAACCGAGATCGAAACCGGTCCAAAAATTACAAAAATACGAACGGTTCATGTATTTCTAAGTCTGGAAAACCGAACTGAGAATGGAACTGAGAACCGAACAAATACCCGAATATTTTGAATATATTAAAAATATTAATTATTTTAAATTTTAATATATGTAAAATATAATTTATAAATAAAAATATCTAAAGAATTCTAAATTACGCGAATAACCCGAATATTTTTTCAGGGTTTTCCAGATTTAACTTGGGTTTTTGAGATTTTTCGGTTTATTGGACCTCAAACCCAAATTAAACCTGAATTATTTGTAATACGGTTCCACTTCGGATTTTATAATAAAATAGAAATCCGACCCGAATCTAACATTATCCAAACCGAACCGCCTAAATATCCCAATCCAAATAACCCGAAAACCAAATAAACCAAACCGACCGAAACCAAAAATCCGAATGCCCAGGACTACGCACGCGTACTACTCTCTTTCGATCTCTTTATCAAATTTCTCAATTTGGAATCTCCTTTACGTTTGATCGGTTAAGGTTTAACCGAAATTATTATAAGGGAAAATTCCATAAAAATATCCCAACTAAATTCTATTAAGCTTTTTAATACCCAAACTTTTTCACTACCCAGTTTAAAACCTCAACTAATTATTCTGCCCACTTTAATACATCAACTTTTATAACTGTATTCATTTTAATACTCAAACTTTGTTTATTTTAATTAACAATACTAATAAGTTTCCAATGAAATTTTAAAAATGTCTAAACTTCAGGAAAAAAATTAATTTTATTATATTTTGAGTAACGAAATTAAATAAATTTTTTATAATCTTAAGTTTTGTAATAAGTTTATTAAGTTTTATATATTGAATTTAGTTTGTTTTTTTGAAATAAAAAGTAAATTATTTTTTTTTCCTTCAAAAACTTTTTTTTAAAACATTAAATTTTTTACAGAGTTTCTTTACCTTATTTCTTAAATCTTCAAATAAACTTAGAAAATTTAAATATTTTTTCTTAGATTTTGGAGATTTTTTAAAATTTCGTTTGAAATTTATTAGTATTGTTAATTAAAATAAAAAAAGTTTGAGTATTAAAATAGATACAGTTATAAAAGTTGGTGTATTAAAATTGGCAGAATAATTAGTTGAGGTATTAAACTGGGTAGTGAAAAAGTTTGGGTATTAAAAAGCTTAATAGAATTTAGTTGGGGTATTTATATGGAATTTTCCCTTATTATAAACATAAAAAGATAGTTACTGGGCCTTTATGGGGTTTGTATATATTATAAGGCCGAACAAAAAAAAGAGAAATGAAAACCCTCTAGTTGGCCCCGAAGGTCCTGAAACGTAGTAAGGTTAGATTGTTGTGAGGTATATATAAGGAAACGATGTGGTAACCCTAAAAAAACTCTCTCTCTTATTGTTTGTCGTTGCCTGCTATCTCCGCCGTCTCTTGAGATTTTTTTGCGAAGATGGTTAGTTCTCTTTCTCTCTTCTTGATAGCGTTTAAAGCATGATTCTTAGGTTGTTAGGAGGAATATAGCTGATTAGGAGTGTTGATTTCATGTATTGATTTGATATTAAGCTTTTGTGTTTTTTGTAATGGAATGTGATTTTGTCTTGATGTGAAATAGGTTCTTCAAAACGACATCGATCTGCTAAACCCACCAGCAGAGCTTGAGAAGAGGAAGCACAAGCTCAAGCGTCTTGTTCAAACTCCCAACTCATTTTTCATGGTACTACTTATTTTAGATTTGTTTAATTTGATTTTCTCATTAACTCTTAACCTATTATAGTGCTTGACCATTTATAAGTGGTTTAATTAGAATTATAAAATATAATTGCTTTGAATGTTATGGTCTCTGATTATGTTTTGTTGTAATTGTTAAACAATTATTGTAGGATGTGAAATGCCAAGGCTGCTTCAACATGTAAGCTCTCATCATTTAATTTTTGATATTACTTGGGCTGATGTAAGATAATAAAACTTAATGGGTTCTGTCTTTTTGGTATTGCAGCACTACTGTATTCAGTCACTCGCAGACCGTTGTTGTATGCGGAAACTGCCAGACAGTTCTATGCCAGCCTACAGGAGGAAAAGCTAGGCTCACTGAAGGATGCTCTTTCAGGAAGAAGTGAGATTGATTTGAAGCTTTGAATCAATCATCAATTCAATCGAAAATGTTTTTTTTTTGGATGTTATGAATTTTGCTTATCTGTTTTGAAAGAACTCGGTTGTTATTTAGAGGAATAAACCTTTGTTAACTTTTGGAGTTAAGTTTTTTGTCTATTTTAATGGTTTTCTTGCTTGGAGATTGTCACTGGATCACATGGAAAACTAAGTAAAAAAAATGTATATAAGAGTTTATGAGAGAATATTGAACTTTATCAATAACCAGTAATATGATCTTAAATTTGTTTTTGTTTGAATAAACTGAGTTCTTGTGCCTAATAACACGGGCGCTTTAAAAAAAATTGAGTGGATTACATAATATGCAGTGTATGATTAGTTAATTACTCTACAATCCTAATTTTGTAAAACGATGAGTTTTATAAAAAGATTATTGTTGACAGTGGGATTTGAACCCACGCCCTTTCGGACCAGAACCTTAATCTGGCGCCTTAGACCAACTCGGCCATATCAACTTTGTTGTCCAAAAGCAAGCTACCATATATATTATTTTGTATTCCGAAATTATAAATTTCAAACAAAAAAAATTGAGTTTATTGAATTATTACTGGTTAAAAGTTTTAGAATTTGATAGCTGCAAAATTAATAAATTTATAATAGTGTAAATATGTGTGTAAATTCTAGAAAACTTACTTTTAAGGAACAGAATTAATATAATTTTTTTTACTATTTCATATATTGAGTGGACTGTGGATGTTTCATAAAACGCTGCCGTTACAAAATCCAATTTAACCACTCATCTTTGACTGGTCAAGAGCAGAGGCAGGAGGAAGTAATTAAAATTTAATTACCATCTTAACTTTTCTTAATGTGTTGCGAAATTGCTTAATCAAACATCACTCCCTCTTTCTCGGACGCTCCTTTCTCCAATCGTCGCTGCTCCTCTATCGTCCTCGCCGGCTAGATCCGTTTCTTTCTTCGACTCTGCATAGATAGGTGAGCCTGATCCTCCTTCAAGATCTGCGCATGTCTAGACCAGATCTCGTGTTTTGTTTTCCTGTAATAACTTTCTTGTGGTCGAACGCGACAACATCATCAGTTACATAGCGTTTTGTTTTGTGGTCGGTCGTGAAATATGTTTTCTTTTTTACGTTACAATGACGTGACCGCTACGACTATTTGGTTACCGTGTCTCCCACGTTATGTGATCATTCCAAATTACTTGTTAACCTTTTCTCATCAGTTACATGGCGTTTTGTCTTGTCATGTGTACGTACACTAGTATATTTGTTTTTACATTACATGCCGTAACTGTTACAACTATTAGGTTAAATTAGGTTTCGTGTGCCCCACGTTTCCTGATCATTTCCAATCACTTGTTAACCTTTTGTTTTCCCATCATCAATTACATGGCGTTTTCTCCTGTCATGTGTACCCTAATATGTTTTTTACGTTACATTTAGGTTCAATTAGGTTAACTTGTTCCCCACGTTTTGTGATCATTTTCTCATTACTTGTTAACATTTTGTTTTTTTCAACGTTCTAGGTTATCGATAAGCATGGAAGAAGACGAAGAAAAGAAGTTCTCCGAGGGACACGTCGACGACGTTTCTGATAAGCATGAGAGTAGAATAGATGCATTTGATATTGGAAACCCTAGTTTTCTCGCTAATGAAAACGCTCAGGTAGGGTTACAAACGATTAGTTCAGTTGATGCAGTCCTCAAAGATGACCATTTCGAACAAGTTTCTCTAAGAGAAGAAACAACAAACCTAGATTCTCTGCCTCAATCACCAAACCCAAAGGCTACAATGCAAAACGTTTCTCCAGAGCTTTTACATCTAGTTGATTCAGTCATCATGGGAAAGCCTGAAAGCTTACACAAACTAAAGAATCTTGTAAACGGTGTTGAGAATTTGGAGCCTGGAGATGATCCAGAGACTACTGCTTTCCTTGTTATTGACTCTCTTCTCGCAACAATGGGTGGTGTTGAGAGCTTTGAAGAGGATGAAGATAGTAACCCACCTAGTGTCATGTTAAACTCTCGTGCAGCCATTGTATCCGCTGAGCTCATCCCTAGCCTTCCTTGTGATAACGACAGTGCTACCTTCATGTCTCCTAGGACACGCATGGTGAGAGGGTTGCTAGCGATTCTACGTTCTTGTACTAGAAACAGAGCTATGTGTTCAACGGCAGGGCTGTTAAGTGTTCTCTTGAGATCACTGGAGGAGATACTTTCAAAAGACAGTG